AATGTATATATTCTTCTCTCTTTGATCTGATGTGAATAGGGTTCCCTCTAAAAATACCTCCCCCCATCCCTATCACCTTGGCCTTTTATTTCTTTCTGAATTTAGAAGCCTTTTATATCCTTCTAGACATATATGTATTGTTCCCTCTTTAACCCATTCCTGATGACAGTAGGTTTCCAGAACTACCAGCCCTCCTCCCCCATCTAATTCCTCTGTGTCAGTTCTTCTCACACCTCATTTGTCTAAGATAATTATTCTTTCTACCTTTTCCTAGACAGTATTACTTTTTAGAATAACATCATACTCAGCTCCTTTCCCGATATTTCTTTAGAACTACCCAATTACTAATTCAATCTTAGACATACAGTTCACATTTCTTCATATAAAAAGTAAGCAGTCTGTCCTTATTGAGTATCTTAAATAAATATATGTATAAATATATATAAATAAAATAAAAAAGAATAAACATGTGTAGGCCAGAAAAGAGAATCTTGTTTGGGAGCCTATTTAGCTGACTTTGGGGACTATATTTCTAACAGGATGAAAGACAGGCAATGTTGTTTTCTGCTACTTACTTTGTCACCTTAGACAAGTCACCTAACCCGAGTCTCACTTTCTTTATCTGTCAAACTAAGGGGTTATATTACATGATCTCTAAGACCTTTTCAGCTCTAAATCTGAGGAAAGGGTCCCTGTGGTCATAACACCTTTTATTATGGAAGGGAAAACACCCCCTAGTGTAGATGATCTGTGTAGATATATTTGCTTCCTCTTACCCCCAAAATAAATTCATCAAAGATCAACCCCACTCTGTATTCATAAGAAAGCTCTATGGAGATGACTTGTGCTAAATCACCCGGATCTAGCCATGATGTCTTCAGGTTGATTTCTATTTCCTCATCTCCTAAAGGAGGCTCTTCTCACGCAGTGGGCTCTAAATCAGTGATTGATACCTGACTGACTAAACAGTCTACACAACAGCTATTGCTGAATCAAATCTGAGGGAAAGAATAGAAAGGAAGTGAAAAAAAAATTCTTTGGGATGATTTTTATTGCATTTGGTGCCTTTGGCTCGTATGCCTGCCAGAAATTTCTCTCTACTCCAATCTGTCCTCCACTAAGCTGTCAGTGTGATCTTGCTTAAGTGCGGGTGACATTCACGTCTCTCTCTCTCCTCTCTCTTCACTGCCCCACTCAGTAAATTCTGGTATCTCTCTATTTATGTCAAAAATAAAATACTCTGGCTTTTAGCACCCTTCATAACCTGGCCCCTTGCACCACCTTTCTGGTCCACTTGCACATTACACCCCTCCAGGTACTCTGTTATCCAGTGACATTAGCCTCCTTGCTGCTCTTCAAACAAGACTCTACTCCATACTTTAGACATTTTCACTTGTTCCCCATTCCTGGAATCCCTCTTCTTCCTCATTTCCATCCTCTGGCTTCCTTCAAGTCCCAGATAAAATCTCACCTTTGACAGGAAGCCTTTTCTGATGGTCCTTAACTCTACATGCCTTCCTTCTGTTGATTATCTTTAGTTTATTACAGAGTTTGTATGTTCTGTCTCTCGTTAGGCTATGAGAGCCTTGAGAGATTTTTAACTTTTCTATCCATAGCATTTAGCACAGTGTCTCTTTCTCTGGAGGTAGGTGCTTAATAAAATTTATTGATTTGCGGATTGTACTCCTTGAATTACTGTGATGTACTTTACTTAGTGAATAGAGTTCAAACAAAATAATTTCAGTTGGTTTATTTTAATTCAAAATGTTCTTATAGGTGAGATGTCCATGGTAGGAAAAAATAGCAAATAAAAAATAATTGTCATTAAAATTTTAAGGATCATTTCTGGCCAGTATTGGAAACTGGATCTCCATTCTTGGTATTTTATTTTTACAGTTTTTTTTTATTTATTAGTATTTTATTTTTTCCCAATTACATTAAAAAACACATTTTTTAGCATTCATTTTTACAAGATTTTGATTTCCAAATTTTTCTCCCTCCCTCTTTCCCCTCCCCTCTTCCAAAAATGGTAGGCAATTTGATACAGGTTATACATGTGCTATCAGTTTAAACATATTTCCATAATAGTCACAGTTCTGAAAGAAGAAACAGATCAAAAGGAAAAAAAAATCATGAAAAAGAATAAAATAAGTGAAAAAAATATGCTCCAATCTGCATTCAGAGTCCATCAGTTCTTCATCTGGATGTGGATAACATTTTCTTTCTTGAATCGTTTGTCTTGTCTTGGATCATTGTGTTGCTGAGAAGAGCTAAGTCATTTACAGTTAATCATCACATAATGTTGCTGATGCTGTGTACAATGTTTTCCTGGTTCTACTCATTTCACTTTGTTCAGTTTGTATGTCTTTCTAGGTTGTTCTTTAATCTGCCTGTTTATCATTTCTCATTGCACAATAGTATTCCGTCATATTCATATATCATGGCTTGTTCAGCTATTCCTCAATTGATAGGCGTCCCCTCAGTTTCCAATATTTTGCCACCACAAAAAGGGCTGCTATAAATATTTTTGTACATGTAGGTCATTTGCCCTTTTTTAATTATGTCTTTAGGTTACAGACCTAATAGTTGTATTGCTGGATCAAAGGATATGTATGCTCAGTATTATAGGTCTTTGGACATAGTTCCACATTTTTCTACAGTTCACAACTCCACCAACAGTGCATCAGTGTCCCACTTTTCCCATATCCTCTCTAACATTTATTGTTTTCCTTTTTTGTCATATTAGCAAATTTGATAGATGCGAGGTGGTACTCAGAATTGTTTTAATTTGCATTTCTCTAATCAAAAGTGATTTAGAGCACTTCTTCTTATGCCTATAGATAGCTTTGATTTCTTTATCTTCATTTCATCATTGCATGTTCATATCCTCTGACTATCAATTGGGAAATGGCTTATATTCTTGTAAATTTGACTCAGTTCTCTATATATTTGAGAAATGAGGCCTTTATCAGAGACATTTGCTGTAAACATTGTTTACCATCTTTCTGTTTTCCTTCTAATCTTGGTTGCACTGGTTTTGTATGTACAGAAGCTTTTTATTTTAATATAATTACAATGATCTATTTTGTATTTTGTAATGCTCTCTATCTCTTGTTTGTTCATGAATTCTTCCATTTCCCATAGATCTGACAGGTAGACTATTCCTTGCTTTTCTAGTTTGCTTATTGTATCATCCTTTATGTCTAAATCATGCACCCATTTTGACCTTATCTTGGTATACAGTGTGAGATGTTCTTCTACACTGAGTTTGTGTCCTATTGTTTTCCAGTTTTCCCAGCAGTTTTTGTCAAATAGTTAGTTCTTATTTAAAAGGCTGGGATCTTTGTGTTTATCAAACACTAGATTACTATGGTCATTGACCATATTATAATAATCTATTTGACTGTTCCACCACTCTGTTTCTTAACCAGTACCAGATAGTTTTGATGATTACTGCTTTATAAGATAGCTTGAGATCTGGTATTGCTAGGCCACTTTCCTTTGTATTTTTTGTCATTAATTCCCTTGACCTTTTGTTCTTTCAGATGAATTTTGTTATTATTTTTTTCTAACTCTATCATATATTTTTTCGGTAGTTTGATTGGTATGGAAGCAAATTAGTTTAGGCAGAATTGTCATTTTTATTATATTGGCTCGACCTACCCATGAGCAATTGACAATTTTCTAATTGTTTACATCTAACTTTTATTGTGTGAAAAGTGTTTTGTAATTGTGTGCATATAGTTCCTGGGTTTGTCTTGGCAGGTAGACTCCCAAATATTTTATATTGTTTACAGTTATTTTAAATGGAATTTCTCTTTCTATTTCTTGCTGCTGGGCTTTGATGGTCATATAAAGAAATGCTAATGATTTATGTGGGTTTATCTTATAACCTGCAACTTTGCTTAAGTTGTTAATTATTTCAAGTATTTTTAGTTGATTCTTTATGGTTCTCTAAATATACCATCATATAATCTGCAAAGAGTGATAATTTTGTTTTTTCTTTGCCTATTCTAATTCTTTCATTTCTTTTTCTTCTTTTATTGCTGTAGCTAACATTTCTAATACCATATTGAATAATAGTGATGATAATGGGCTTCACCCTTGATCTTAATGGGGAGCCTTCTAGCTTATCCCCATTACAGATAATGCTTGCTGATGGTTTTAGATAGATACTGCTTATCATTTTAAGGAATGCTCCCTTTATTCCTTATGCTCTCTGTTGTTTTTAATAGAAATGGGTGCAGCATTTTGTCAAAAGTTTTTTCAGTATCTTTTGAGATAATTCTATAATTTCTGTTGAGTTTATTTTTGATATGGTCAATTATATTCATGGTTTTCTTCTTACTGTTGAACCAACCGTGCATTCCTGGTAAAAATCCCACCTGGTCATAGTGTATAATCCTTGTGATATATTGCTGTAATTGTCTTGCAAGTTTTGCATTGATATTCATTAGGAAAATTGGTATATAATTTTCTTTCTGTTTTAGCTCTTCCTGGTTTAGGTATCAGCACCATATTTGTATCATAAAAGGAGTTTAGTAGGACTCCTTTGCCTATTTTCCCAAATAGTTTATGTTGTATTGGAATTAATTGTTCTTTAATGTTTGGTAGAATTCACTTGTGAACCCATATGGCCCTGGGGAATTTTTCTTATGAAGTTCATTAATGGCTTGCTCAATTTCTTTTTCTATGATGGAGTTATTTAGGCACTCTAGTTCCTGATCTCGGTAATTTATGTGTTTGTAATATTCATCAATTTCACTCAGATTGTCAGAATTATTGACATACAATTGGGCAAAATATTTCCTAATGATTGCTTAATTTCTTCTTTATTGGTGGTGATTTCACCCTTTTTATTTTTATGCCATTCTTAGTATTTTTAAGGAAGGAATAAGCATGACATCTTGTTTATTCTGTGTGTTAGGAAAAAAAGCTAAGTGAAGAATTTTATTTACAAGTCTAGTGCAAATAACTTTTAAAAAATTTAGCACACTCAGTTTTATTTTACTGGGAACAATACCAAGACATATGAACATTTTAAGAAAAACATCTTTTTTTTCTGTCATTCAGGAGTATGATGCATTTCTCAAAATTATATTTCTCAATGCACAGAATATTATTTTGATTTTTTTATTAGACTTCAGAAATTTAGACTATATAACAAAGTATGTAGCAACCATACATAAACAATCCAACAAAAACAAGACATTGCTGACCTTTGCTTTGTATCTGGATAAAACTAGCATATGTCAACATTTGGAAAATAACTAAAAAAATGGAGTGTGTAAGATATGCCAGGAGGTGACTGAAAGTCAAACCAGCAATATCTGAATAATGAGATTGCGAATAAAATATTCCACATTGGGGATTAGGGAAATGGATCTGGATTTGTTCAGTGCTATTATGTTTTTGCTAACACAAAAAGGACAACAGTTTAAGTTCCTAGTCAAACCCTTCAAAAAGGCATAGAGCAGAAGGCAGAGAGAGACCTGAAGCTCAGTTAAAGCCACCAACATTATAAGCAAATGCTGTACAGAAAAGTTCTTTTCTAATTGTTCCCCATTTAATATTTTCCGTGTATCAAACTAGGTCCCCTTGGGTATTCCCACAGTACTTCCCTACTCCCACCCCCAAATATGTGTTTGTGAGCATTCTGTTTTTCTCAGCCCTGTTAACTATATTGTGGCAATATGTTTATATGAAACATGCATAAATGGCTGGATATGCATTAATAATGCTTGCTGAAAATGATAGTCAAGAGATAATGTCCTGCCAAGTCAATGATTACAGAGGTGATTTAGCTTTGAGTGGCAATAGCAAACACGACTTCTTTCAGTCTGCAAGTGCAGTACTCCTGGCAGATTTGTTTGTTTGTTTATTGTTTCTATCATAATCACAAACAGTGGTGGACAGGAGAAGGAATTAAATAAAGATGTACATGTGGAGTCTTGTGGCTCTGTTACTCTGTAACATGAACAGCCTTCACTACTACTATAGTTAGACCCTACAGAGGAAATTATACTCATTCTCACTGTTCATCACTAGCCAGGAAATGTAAGGCTCTCTTTTTGTTCATAGAACTCTGGTGGCTCTGGGGACCTTGGAGGAAATTATACCAAGTCCCAGTGTCCCTTGTGGACTCCTCTTTGTCCTATATTCCAGCAACATGGGCAGGTTGGCCCTGAAATATCCTCTTCCTATTTTTACTTTCTTAATCAGTTATTCCTTTCCGGGGCCTATTTTCTAATTACAGTTCTTATTACCGTTGAGATGGAGAGATTTAGGGAATCCTTAAAATAAATATCCAATAAAATCCAAAAGAATCTTACAGTGGTTAACTTTTGCTCAAGTATGCGGTATATTTTTCCATATATATATATATATATATATATATATTACCTATGAAAGCAAAATGGTACTTTGTACACAATTCAAATTCTTCCCAAATGCATGAGCATGGTACACATTCCGTTTTACCAGAGCAACATGGCAGGCAATTCAATCCAGAGCAAGCTAACCAGTGAAAACCGCAAGCACAAAGAAGATGATGTCCTATGACTATGGGCCTAGTTTACTCCCAACTTGAAACATCCCCCAAGCCACACATAGATAAATGCAACATCTACCTCATGTCTTTATTCCACTTTCAGCTTTTCATTAGCACTAATAGAAGAAATGACTGAATTGTACCTGAGAGAGGTTTTCCTGATAACGGTGTCACAGAATCTTTCTCTCATATTGGGATACTATAGGGTCACCCCATTATACTTTACTATAATTTTAGAGTCTAGATGTGCATCATAAATAACCCTGATATGCTATTTTGGTGTGGGGTAAAATAGCTAAATTTTGCTCACAACTGCCACTGAAGAAGGTTCAGATACATTCACTGCTTAGAATATTGTATGGTACTGTATTTTGTGATCCGGCTTCGAGTTGTACTAGGGGAGGCTGATCCAATAGTCTGGTTAAAATGATCAGAATTCCTCACATGGCCAAGTGTAGAACTGCCACTCAGGCCACTGCTGTTCAGACCTATGCTACTCAAGCCACCTCCCCCACTTCCCAGGCTGCTCATTTCAATGCCACCCCCACTTATGCCAGACCCACTCAAGCCTATTCCACCTCCACTCATGCTAACACCTCCCCCACTCATGGTAATAGCACCTCTGCTCACATTGCTGCCAACCACACTACTAACACCACCACCACTGATTCCAGTTACCCCAGCACCAGAAACAACTCTCTCTGTAACAACTACATTATGGGCACTGGATAAATCAGGATGAATACTTAGATTGCCCATCAGGCCAGAAGTTGGTCTAATGACTCTTTCAGTTACTACCACATTTGATGTATCTCTGGGGTCAGGGATACTCAATGAGGTAGGTAGTCTTGAATTTGGTGCAATTACCCTCTCTGTCACTACAACATTGGACCCTTCTCTGAAATCAGTTAGATCTAACATGCCCTGGAGATCTGAGCCAGAGATGGGTCCTACCACCCTCTCTGTCACCACAACATTTGAGCCATGCCGAGGATCATGAATATGTACCGGGGGCTGCAGGGACCCAGTGGTGGTATATGACTCAGTCACTGTAACATTTCCATAGCCCAGAGGATCAGGTATAGGCATAGGATGCTGAACGACAGGCCCAGAGGGATAGGTACTCTCAGAAACAACTGTAGTGGTACCAAAATGTGGAGACATTGGTGGGTGTCCAAAAGAAACATCATTTCCTTGGGGAGGACAACTGGGTTCGGTGTTCTCTGGTGGCCAAGTGTGATCAACATCTGGATAGGAATCAATCTCTTTTCCCAGGCTAATATCTGCCAATTTCTTAAACTTTGGCCCCAAAGTGTCTAAAAAGCTGTCATCCTCGTCTTCTCCGATGAAACTACAACAGCCAACAGAGCCAGCAGAAGAGCCGACCCCTTCAATATCATAGATGAGTAAACAATCATTTGATGGTCTATTTTCATCTTCATCAGCATAGGCAAATGCTTTCTAAATTTGTAAAAAAAAATTATAAAGTTATACATACATTTTAACACGTTAAAAATTTCTTTTTTGTCTTTATTAATTGCTTAATGAAAGAAATTATGAATAAGAATATTTTAAAAAATCTATCAGATCTAATTTTTGAGATGTCTTTTTTCTGTTCCTCCTTATGGGCCTTTTTCCTTTACCTCCCCCTTCTCACTATTTCAAAAGCATTTGTTACACGCAAAGCCCTGTACTCAGGTCGATTCAAAGGTAAAATTGGACCTAACCTCTGTCCTTAAAGAGTATGCAGTCTAGCAGCAGAGTCTTGGCATCTATACAAATAATCAAAATCCAAAATAGAACACAATAACTATATGAGAGGTATAGTTCTATAAGAGTTCTGGGGATCATAACACATGTCTGATGAGGGGATATCATAGGATCATAGATTCAGAACTTAGAATGTTAGAGGTTATTTAGTCTAACCCTTTTATTTTATAGAGGAGGAAACTGAGGCCTGAAGGTTTAAGTGACTGGTCCAGGCTCACAAAGGTAGAGAGAGACAGGGGATAAAACCCTTGACTTCAAATCCTATGTCCATTCTATTGCACCAAACATTGAAAAAGTGACATACATGAGGAAGTTACTCCCAACAAGTTGGTTGGTAATCATTTGTAATCACTAATTTGCTGACACCTAGTGTTGATGGAGTACTCGCCACAGTCTGTGAGAAATTAGTGACTTAACCTCATGGACCCATTGGTCAATTTCCATATAGCTCAATTTAGATAGAAGGCACTATGAGAATACAGATTGCATAGCTGGTCTTCACATATGTGCTTGCATCAGTTCTCTGAAAATTTGGAAGAAGGTACTTAAAGCTGATGTTGTTCTTTGTGCATCTCCCTGTATGTGATGCCTCTCATCACACTAATAACTTTGAAAGAGGAGAATGGAGCTCATCTTGGTTCATCTGTGTATAGCTTTCAGGTGAAATTGTGTCAAGAGGCCAAGAAGATTGATCCAAAATATTGGACCCAAAAAGATGGGAAGAATTTGACTCTGGTTGATACCATTCTTCATATGAAGAATTAGGAGACCCATCGACCCTCTGCTAAGTGAAAGAGCCTAGAGGCAAAACACGTGCTCTCTCTTATCTGTGTTCGTAATGTTGTACTATATATTTCTAGGATGAGGAACTAAATCTACATACTTTGTACAGCAGCTAGCCAAATACCATTTTTAGCAGCTAACAATAACAATGATGATGGTGAAAACAACAATGACAACAGCAACATATTTCAATACAGGTGGTGGTAAAGTGGGTAGAATGCTGAACCTGGAGTCAGGAAGATCTGAGTTCAAATCTGGCCTCAGAAACTTGCTAGCTTTGTGACCCTGGGTAAGTCACCTAACCAAGTCTTATACATCCTTAAAAAAAAATCTTTCCCAAACCCTGCCATTATTTCAAACTATCATCTTATGTCTCTTTTCTTTTTCTCAGCCATACTCCTGCAAAAATCTGCCTATAGATGTTACCTCTGTTTCTTTGTTACTCACTTCTTCCTTTGAAGTCTCACATTTGACCTCCTGACTGAACCAAAGCTATCTACCCTACCCCAATTACAAATCATCTCCTCATTTTAGTCTAATGGATTTTTCTCTAGTCTTCATCATTTCTGACTTCTCCATGGAATTTAACACTGTTGATCCCTTTCTCTTTTTAAGTATTCTAGCTATTCCCTGGGTTATTATGACATTGTTCTCTCCTGGTTTTCCTACTCCTCCTCAGTCTTCTTTGCTAGCTCGTCATTCACATCATGGTACTTAACTCTAGGTGTACTCCAGACTCTGCTCTGGCCCTTCTTCTCTCTTTCTGTCTATACTCTCTTACTTGATGGCTTCATTAGCTCCCATGACTTGAATCTCTATGCAGGTGACTCCAAGATCTAGATATCCAGTCCAAGTTTCTCTCCAGCTCCATTTTGTATATCACCAACTGCTGTACATTTAAAAGTTCTGCTCTCATAGACATTTCAAATTCAACATATCTAAACCAGAAACTTATCTTTTCTCTCACAGCTATCCTTTTACAAACTTCATCCCACCTATTCAATCAGCAGCTGAATCTTGTCATTTCTACCTTCACAGAATTTTGCATCTATACTCTTCTCACTATTCAAAGAGCCAACACCTCAGGTCAGGCCTATATCACCTTTCACCTGAAATATTGTAATGGCCTCCTAATTTATCTCTCTGCTTCAAGTCTATCTTCATCCCATGGCCTCTTCCAGCTGCCAAAGTGCAGTTCTGATTATATTGCTACTCTACTCACTAAACTGCAGTGACTCCCAATGGCCCCTACAACCAATATAAACTCCTCTGTTTGTTGTTTAAAGCCCTTCATAACCTGGATCCAACCTATTTTTAACAGCCCTATTACATAACTCCCCTTCCTACATTCTACATCCCTGATAAGGTGGCCTTCACTTTGTCCTTCATCCATGGCAGTCCATCTTTCACCTCCATGCCTTTTAACTAGCTGTCCTCCTTGCCTATAATACACTCCCTCCTCACCTCTGCCTCATAGAATTCCTCACTTTCTTCAAGACAGTTTAGGTATCATTTTCTTCATGAAGTCTTTCCTCATCCACCTAATTCTGATGTCCCCTCTCCATAACTACCTAGAATTTAAATTGCCTTATATTTGTTTATTCTGTAAATACTTATGAATGCACATGTGTATTTTCTGATGGATTCAAGCCTCTTAAAAGCACGGACTGTTTTGGTTTTTTGCCTTTGTCTCTCCAGAGCTTAGCACGGTGCCTGGCATAATTGGTGCTTAGCAAATGTTTGTTGATTGATTAATTGATTGATACATTTCCAAAAGGCATCAAAATTTGATGTTGTGAAATCATTGCTACCTAAATATACTTCTGTTTGGAGATGGCCAAGCCAAATAACATCACTCTAGACTTTGGCATTCCTCTATGGTTTCCCCCTGGGTAGCTGAGTGTACTCTGGAGGGTTTGAGAATACCCTCTAGGGAGCCTGGTTGTCCTAATGCCACCCTCCTACCACACTCATGATATTTACTTCTCCATTTAATAAAGCAGTATAGTAATATCAGAGCTGAATGGAATAGGAGATCATATATTGTTGAAATATTATTTATATGCTTAGGCTGATAGAGTCATAAATAATGCAGAAGTTGCTGTTATATTTATTACCTGGCAGAAGTAGCTTTCCATGAAGTTCATATTCAGGCCTCCTTCTCTACATTCTCTCATGGAATTCCTTCTTAATGTCCCAGAGTATCCTGTACATACTTCAGGTACTGCAGATGTTTTCACTCCATTTGATAATTCAAATCTTGATGTTCCAATTCCTCCTTCTCCTAGGTCTCTCATCTCTCTTTCTCCATATTCATTTGTATAAACTCCTAAAAAGATCATTAATTTAAATGTTTAGGACTCCAAAGAAGCTTACTGAAATATTTTGTTTATCTAGATAGGCACAACACATTCATGAGTATTTAAAAACATAACATACACACTCAGTTGGGTATAGAAATCTTTCTTACCCTACAAAAAAGTAGGAGGGGAAGGGGTTAAGAGAAGGGTGGGGAGGGGGCTGATAGAAAGGAGGGAGGATTGGGAGAGGCAGTGGTCAGAAGCAAAACACTTCTAAGGAAGGACAGGGTGAAAGGAGAGAGAGGGAGAAGGATAAACAGGGGAAATAGGATGGAGGGAAATACACAGTAATCTTACTTGTAGAGAAATTTTACAGCAAGTTTTTCTGATAAAGGCTTCATTTCTCAAATATATAGAGAACTAAGCCAAATTTATAAGAATACAAATAATTTCCCAATTGATAAATGGTCAAAGGATATGAACAGGTAGTTTTCAGCTGAAGAAATCAAAGCTATCTATAGTCATATGAAAAAAATGCTTCAAATCACTATTGATCAGAGAAATAAAAATTAAAACAACTCTGAGCTACCACCTCAAACCTATCAGACTGGCTAACATGGCAGAAAGGGAAAATGACAAATTTTGGAGGGGATGTGGGAAAACTGTGACACTAAAACATTATTGGTGTTGTGAACTGATCCAACCATTCTAGAGACACATTTGGACTATGCCCAAAGGACTATAAAACTGTACATACCCTTTGACACAACAATATCACTACTAGGTCTGCTTCCCAAAGAGATAAAAAAGGAAAAAGAACCTATATGCACAAAAATATTTATAGCAGTTCTTTTTGGGGTAGAAGAGAAATGGAATTTTAGGGGATGCCTATCACTTGGGGAATGGCTGAACATGCTGTGGTATATGATTGGGATAGAATACTGTTGTGCTAAAAGAAATGATGAGCAGAATGCTTTCAGAAAAAGCTGAAAAGATGTGTACGTGTAAGCATAACAAGGAGAAGAGTGCACACAGTTATAGCAATATTATAAGATCATCAGTTGTGAATGACTTAGCAATTCTCAGCAATACAATGATCCAAGACAATTCTGAAGGGTTTATGATGAAAAATGCAATCCACCTCCAGAGAGGGAGAAGATGGAGTCTGATTGCAGGTCAAAGCAAATTTTTTTACTTTCTTTATTTTTCTTGTGTGTGTGGGTTTTTTTTTTTGGTCTATTCTTTTACAACATGACTAATATGGAAATATGTTTTGCATGATTACACATGTCATCAAATTGCTTTCTTTCTCAATGAGGGGGGAGGAGAAGGAGAGAGGAAAGGAGAGAATTTGGAACTTGAAATTTTAAAAAAAGTGTTAAAATTGTTTTTACATGTAATTGGGACAAATTGGGACATGTAATTGGAAAAAAAATTAAATATATAAAAAAGACTTGGTATAGCTCTTGTCCCCCAGAAAGTTGTTGAGATGCTGGAGACCCATTGATTATTTGAGACTGCTAGAGTTTATATTCCTGAGTATGATGGGGTAAGGCCACAGGACAGTAGATGAGAAGGGAGGGGAAGGAAATGGTAGGTCTGCATGAGTAAATGGTAGTATCAGCCACACTCAAAAAAAAATAGTGTCTGCTCTCCTAAGAGAACTAGGATCCTATTGCTCAAAGTATACTTGAAGTGCTCAGCACTTAGAGTTTTCTGTCCAACACTCAAGTTCTCCATAATTCTGTTAAGTTTCAGAGTTTGGTGGAGAATAACATAAAAAAATTACATGCTTAGAGAAGAATGAAAGAAACCATACTCATTTAGCTTGAAGAAACAAAATGGTATAATTATTTGAATACATATGAAAGGTTTATTTGTGTTTATAGTGAATGATAACAAGCTAATCCATATCTTTAATAAAGACATAGAAGATTTAAGTGGTTTAAATTATAATTCATGTGACTCTTTGGCTGTATCTGAAGATCTTGTCTATTCTCCTGCCTTAAGACAAACCTATATTTAAATAATTCTTCTTATATTTAATGACTCCCCAAGAAACAATTCCTTGTCTTCCCTGTCAGGGAAGGGGAAAATGTCCATTGTACATCCCAGTTCAATTAACCTGGTTGAAATGCTTCCATGATATTCAGTCTTCTATATTTATTCTTAAGTAGTTGGATATGGTTAGCAACTTTGAGATCAACATGTCTATTGATGTTGAAAGGAATCTTATTTCTCAGGCTATCACGTGTGTTTAGTGTTATCATGATGAAAAGGTGGAGATTCAAGTCCTACAAATGAGCCCTGTCACTGAATTAAAGTTAAACTTTAATTAATGTGAAATTAAAAAAAAAAACTAATACCAGTCTAATGTCAGAACAAAATATCCTGACCATCATTGACATGTTATGCTCCTGCCCATCTCAAAGAAATTAATACCAATCAGATCACCTGTGAAGTTCTATACTCCTCCTCCTTTTCCTAATAGCATTTATATAGCACCACTTTAAGGTTTGCAAAGCACTTGATATATGCTGTCACATTTGATTCTCATAACAACCGTGTGAGGTAGGTGCTTTAATTTCCCCCATTGTACCGATGAGGAAAGTAAGGAAGAGAGCAGTTAAATGACTTGGCCAGCTAATAAATGTCCAAATCAGGATTTGAACTCAGGTTTTCCTGTTTCCACATGTAGCACTCTATCCACAATGCCATCTAATTATACTCTATGGCTATGATATCAAAATGTTAAGCATAAACCTCAAATACCATGGTCTTCAAAGAATTAACATTATGGGTGATCCAAAGGGCAATGTTTGGGGTGTGGTAGGCATGAGTAGGCTACAGCACATTACCAAGGTAAGTTTTCACAGGAGAAGCAACGTAATTGGTATCATCAGGGATGTGTACGAGAAGAAAAGGAATTGGTTTGCTTAAGGAGTGAGAATATGGGATAACTGATAGGTGACTTGCATACTCCACTGTTAATTCCACTCAATGCCAAGAATGGAGAATAAAAGAATAACTCCAGCACTCCGATGGGCCCCTAAAGAGCATTTAAGCGAGGACATGGACAAAAGTGGCACAGGACAAGCAGGCATGGAGGTGGTATGATCTTCACCATTGGAGGGAGTAACCCAGGAATGTCTTGGAGGCAGCTCAAACCAGCTCAAGGAAGTAGATTTTAAAATTTTCATTGTTAAAATTTGCATTTTGGAAATCCACAAATGCTAGAAATCAGGGCTTGATTTATTATTTTATTGATTGGCTATACTGAAAGTATAATGTGAAAGTGTTTGAGAAAATGTTAAGAATGCAGATTAAACTTTCACTTGTTTTGTGCATATGCCCCACCTCCCACCCCCAGCCAGTTGTTCCACATTTACCAGCATGCTCCTGAAGCCCCAGCGCTGAGATCACAGAGCCATGGAAGCATGAAAGAATACAACTAGAAATAATTTCTCCAGAAACCTGTGATGTGCAAACGAGAAATCTTAAAAGTAAAGGTTACTAAAATTTTTAAATGAAAGTGTGATTTGCCCTTGACAATTATATATATATATATATATATTTATATACATACATACATATATATATATAAAGATTTTTTCTCACCATTTTAAGTATATAATAGGAAATAAATTTGTATTCCACTTACCAGCTGTGTCAATACATTCATTCATATTTCCAGTAGCATCTATCACTGGTATAACTGGCACACAGATGTTGTTTATATCCTAAAGAAAGGAAACTGTTATTTCTTTCCTTTGGCAATAAACAAAAAAATGGTACTTTCCATTATATATATTTCATATTCTTTGTTTTTTTTTCCTCTCTCTATTTCCTTTGGATTTCTAAGGTGTGTTTTTTTTTTTTGTGATTAGATTTGCAACTTCATTTGGTGTCAGGAACTTCCTGTGAGGAACCTCCTTCTACCAGTACAGATGAGCCCCAGCCATGCAACTTCAAAATCTTAGAGTCTTAGAGAGCTATCTGATCCACTGAAAAGGATTAATGACTTGCCCAGATCACATACCCATTATGTATCACAGGAAGGCAGTGTTGAACCCAAGTCTTCCTAATGTGGAAGCCAGCTCTCTTTATACTATATCACTCTCATATTTTATAAATATGTATATATCTTATTAAAATACATAAGAAGCTTTGAGATCCACTTTTCTTTACCCTCATTCAGGAAGTTTTTACTGATTAGCTTAATCCCATTTTGATAATCCCTTTACTTGGCTTATGGCATTTCATCTATATTAATTTTGTTTGTATTAAATTGTTAGGTCTTAAATAATTTTCCAGTTTGGATATGTTCCATCTCTCCAATTACATTGTTAGTTTCTTGAAGCAATGCGCTATTTCTTCTATTTATTTTGCTTTTCTTCTCTTGCTCCTATTCCTATCCCTTGCCAGAACCTAACAGGAAAGTTCATGCTCAGTGGATTTTAATAAATGTGGACTGCTGCATTTCTGAACTCTTAATTAATTTGTTTAGAACTCAAGTTTTAGCCGGACTGCAAAGGACATTTCCAGAAAATCAATACTTACATCAGGCTGGGGTCCCTCTACTGCCCAGGAATGGATTGCACCTTCTGTACACTCTGGAACAGGCTCAAAGCCTCCTCCCACACCGCTGGCACCCCCACAGTCACATGCTATCAACAAAAATGGAACCACTGGCAAAGAGAAGTAGAAATAGATTGCAATTAGCAATAGATCTATGTTCTCATGGAAATAGTTTTTTTTAAAAATTAAATTATATTTAGTTAACTGAGAAAACTCCATGCTCAATATATGAAATTGCTGTAAAAGATAAGAAAAACAACTTTAAAATATTTAAAACACTGTAATCAATTTAAGCCTCTGTCATTGACTGCACTCAATTATAGTATACTACAGAGTGGCCACAGACAGGCCACTCCTGTCATCAATTCATATCCTTTTTTTTTTTTTTTGATATCTTTTTTTTGGGGGGAGGGGCAATTGGGGTTAAGTGACTTGCCCGGGGTCACACAGGTAGTAAGTGTCAAGTGTTTTGTCTGAGGCTGGATTTGAACTCAGGTCCTCCAGACTTCAGGGCCAGTGCTCAATCCACTGTGCCACCTAGCTGCCCCAATTCATACCCTTCTTTAGAACTTAAGATGATTCCCTTTAGTTGGCCTCATCAAGTCCAAAACCTTGGGCTTCGAGGTCTATGATAATTTGGTACTTATCTATCTCTATCCTTGTGTCTCGTCCCTCTTTAAACCCTACTTTTCATTTCAGTCAGTCCAGTCTTCTCACCATCTTTCTAATATGCCATGATCATTCCTACCTTTATGACTTCGTACATGTTCCTTCTCTCTCCTCAAATGATGACTCTCTTCTCTTCCACTCATTGAAATCCTAATTATCCATGAAGTTCTAGATCAAGTTCTCCACTGATTCTTCTCTAGCAGTTCCAGGCTATACTGATCTCTTTATTCACTGAACTCTTGCTAACTCATGATAATGTGGCATAGGAAGAAATGAAGTCCAAAGCTCACTTTTGTTCATTATACCATCTTCTTCCATGAAATGTTAGCCTCTCTCCCAATCAAACATTTAACAAAAAGTCAAGGGCCAGTTTGAATGCCCTTTTTTCTGTTTATGACACTTTCCTGGACCCTCAAACAAGAAGCAATTACTTCTTTCTTTGAATGAATATACCTTGTTTTATCCATCTTATACTTCTGCACTATGTATTCTTAGCTATTTGCCTATGTATTTACTCCCTTATTAGTCTCTAATTTTCTTGTAGGCTGGAATCCTATCTTATTTATTCTTGTATCTCTCATAGAATCTGGTACAGTGCAGATAGGGAATAAGCATTTATAGAGTGCCTAGTTTGTTCCAGGTACTGCGCCAAGTACTTTATAAATATTATTTCATTTGATTCTCACAAGATGCCTGCCTGGGAGATATGTACTATTATTATTTCCATTTTACAATAGAGAAAACTGAGGCAGAAAGCAGTTTAGTGACTTGGCCTATGGTCACACAGCTAGTAAGTTATCTAAGGTCAGATTTGAACTCAGGTCTTCCTGACTACAGAGCCAGTGCTCTAGCCACTGTACCATCTAGCTGCCTCTAGTTGCCTGCACAGAGCAGGATGTTAATACTTAATGTTTTCTGAACGAATCAGTGAATTCTAACCAGCTTCAAAAGGAAGGACTATCCATTAAAAAAAAAGCCCATCAGTCAACAACATCTGAAACAAATATATTATCTGTAATTTAAATAAAAATAATAGTTTTGTTTTATGTGGGCACAGCCTCATACAGAGTAAAAGAAGGTATAAACTAGTGGCGCTTACCCCTTTTGCAAATAAGCACCATTCTAGTTACATAGCCATTCCTAGTCACTCACTATCATGGTACTCATGTTTCTTCCACATTGGCAATGGCATATATTTCAAATCTTAATAGATGGCAAAGAAATTATGAGGCCAAGTTTAGTTGAGAGACAGAAAACAATCCATCTTCCTTTTCCCTCTATAGACACTAGATAAATAAATGAAATACTTACATCCAAGCACCAAGAATCCCATAATGAGCAGACCAATGCCAGCAGGACCAAAATGTACATTATCTCCAGGATAACCTTCAACTCCATTCCCGTTGGCATAACCTGAAGTAGAAGTAATATCGTAATTGTTGGTAGTAATGTCCTCCTGATGGTTGGTGGAAGTTTCACCTGTATTATCTCTGCTCCCATCATCAGTTCCTCCTCCGTTGTTATCTCCTGGGCCATTAGTGTCTGTTCCTGTTTTGAGATCTTCCAGGTCTTTCATATCAAGAATAATGGTACCAGTACAAGTTCTTTGGAGAGTATCTGAAATGGTAAGGTATTAAAGGAATGTCACATGTAAAACACAGTGGCCATCCCAAAGCATATGCTACCTTGTTTTTTTCCCAAGTCGTGATAAAGTTCATCAGATGCTCTGTACATATATTTCCAGCCTTTGGCATAGTGCCTGGCACATAGTAGGTGCTTAATAAAGGCTTATTGATTAATTGATTTCCACAAAAGTTGCTGATTTCTTTTATATTCTTCTGTACCTTGGCACCAGAACAGCTTTCTTTTAAAAAATTTCTCATGATAGGTCTGAAGTCCTGAATATATGATCATTATCTGTTTATACTTTCAGAGTCGTTAAAAGACTCAAATTCTCACCAAGGTTACAAGGCACTTCTGTAGAAAAATGTAATTAAAAACTAGCTGCAGCCATGTTATAGATAACACTAGACAGGATGATAGAAAGAATAGGATATTTGTCATCAAAGTCCCTTTAGTTGCTTATTATAATTATATCACAAGTATCTACAAACTAAAACAACCCCATGGTAAAGCTATGGGCCTATAAGGAGTATATGAGAGCAAAGGGCAATAAAACATCTAGGCCAAGGAAGATCCTCAACTTGATGGAGCAAGTTGAGAAAAATAGAAGGACAGAATTCCTGTCAACTATTTCAGTTCCAACTGTTCATATTTCCATTGTTGGAGTCATTCAGATAAGCTGGACATGGAGAGGGAGAGGTTGCAGAAATTCATCAATATGCATCAAAAATGTTCTACCTCTATACTAGCACTGGGTCAAAAGGTTCTCCTTCTTTGGTAAGAATCATGTATCATGTTTAGTATAGAGCAAAATTTCATTAATTAGAATCAATTAGGAGAATGGTCAATTTTAATGGAAGAAATATGCAAATTGTGGAATGGTCTTAAGAATTATGGTTATGTTGCTTTATTTTTGGTCCCTGGTATTTAAGTAAATCTGTGATTTCAGTCAGCCAATAAATATTTAGGGGAATAAAAAGAAAAGGCAACTGCCCCCAGCCCAAAAACAGTCACCCTCCTCAAATAGCATATATTCTAATGGAGGAGACAACATATAAATAATTATATATGTATAAGACATATAAAGAGTAGATGAAGGTAATATGAAAGGAGAAGGCAGCAGTTGGAAAGGCCTCCTACAGATGATGGGATATGAGCTGATTCTTGAAGGAACCTATGGAAATTAAGAGGTAGAAATAAATGAGTAGAGCATTCCATGCTTGGGGGACAACCAGTGCAAAGGCCCAGATAGGTTATGAAGCATCATGTTTGAGAACTTGAAAGTAGCCCAGTGTAACTGGGTAGAATTTATGAAGGGGAGCCAGGTATAAGAGGAATGGAAAGTAGGAAGGGACCAAGTAATCAAAAACCAAATAGAGGACTTTATAGTTGATCCTAGAGACAACAGAAATTCCATAGAGCTCACTGAATAAGAAGGTAAAATGGCTAAGCCTAAGTTCTAGAAAAATCACCTTGATAGCCGAGTTGAGGATGAATTGGAGTGGGGAGAGACTTGAGGCAAGGAGACGAATAAGAAGGTTATTGATGTTGTGCAGGAGAGAGCTAACCTCTCTGCTGACCTCCAGTCTTGCATCTCCAACTGCCTATTGGCCATCTTGAATGGATGTCCTATAGACATAAATTCAACATGTCCAAAACTGCTGGGTTTTGCCCCAACCCCTACACCTTTCCTAAATTTCCCAGTTACTGTTGAGGATATTACCATTCCCTCTAGTCTAGGATCACAGCCTCAGCATTCTTAACTCTTTTCTTTCACTCCTCCTATCTCATCTGCTGCTGAGGCCCATTTATTTTTTATCTTTGTAATATCTCTCTTTTTCGTATCTTTTTTTCAGTTAACGCAATCACCACCCAAATGAAAGCGCTATCATTTAACATATGGATTATTGCAGTAGCCTGCTGGTTGATCTTCCTGCCACAAATATCTCTTCACTCAGCTGTCAAAGTGATTTTCCTAAAGTGTGAGTCTGATCATGGCATTTCTCTACTTGAGGAACTCCAATGGTTCCCTCTTGCTTCCAGGATCCAATATAAACTCTTCCATTTGGCATTCAAAGTTCTTTATAATCTTCCTCTTCCTTCCAATCCAGTTACAACTTAATCCTGCACCCCAACCTCATTCTGTCATCCTGTGACACCAACCTCCTTGCTCTTCCTTGAATAAGACACTCAATCTCCTGACCTGGATACTTTCACTTGTTGTCCCCCATTCTTGTGATACTTTTCCCTCTTCATCTCCATCTCTTGACTTCCCTGGCTTCTTTCTAGGCTCTTCTAGATTTTGATTTCCTCTTAATTCTAGTGCCTTCACTTTCTGTTGATCATTTCTAATATAGCCTGTAAATATTTGTATTTGCATGTTGTCTCCACCATTAGACTGTAAGCTCCTTGAAAGCAGGTACTGTCTTTACCTTTCTTTGTATCTTCAGCACTTAGCATAGTGCCTGGCACATAGTTGGTACTTAATGAATATTTATTGACTGATAGTGAGCAGAGTAAGTTAAGACAACCAAATATCCCATGAAATAATATTTCTTGTTGCATTGGGGTGCCTGATAAAAACCAATTCCATAAATACTTTTATTTACCTTTTCATGGAGAAGCTATAAGCTGCCCTTGCATTTAACTTTTATGTCTTTATTATGTCTGCTGGTTTCATAATGAACAAAAATGCCAAAAAGGGTATGGCTAAATCCTTTTAATAGAATACTGAATCATTGGCCATTATACAAAGATATGACATCAACAATAGTTGGAAAATTTTTAGACATTAGAACTATTTTATTTTTAACACTGTGTGCCCATGGAAGAAAAGAACTTACAAAGGACTGAGGGTCAGTTTGTGTTTTGGTTTGTTTGTATAAGTTGCTATGATAAAAATTCATTGTCAAATTTATAGATTCTAATTTAATGAAATATTACTATAAACACAAAGTGACTATATTCCTGATGGTTCCAATCTATATTGACTGCTTTGGTAACTCATTAAAGAGAGAGATTATTTCAATAAGAGAGAAATGATGAGTGTTTTGTTATTTCACTGTAAATATAACTGTATTAGTGAACTTTTAAGCTATAAAATTTTAGAAAATGCTATCTTACCATCTATGGATAGAATAGTTCCTTCATAGTGTCCATTGAGTCTTTGATATACCTCTCTGGTTATTACATTGTTCAGGGTAAGTTGACCAGTTCTTTCATTAACTGCTAGCAAACCACCAGGATTTGTTCCCATTATATATCTGTATTTTGAAGAATTCCACAAGATTGTTAACAATTTGAAAAAAATATATTTTATTTAAAGTGAATGTTCATAATTGGACATGTTACCTGACTGTTTTTGAAGGTCCTCCTGTGTCCAGATCAGTTGCTACCATTGATCCAATGACAGAATTTTTCCCCATATCTTTAGTTATACGGTAAGTATTAGAAGCTGGAGCAAATACTGATCCTTCAATTACATTTTCAACTGATACTGAGATGACAGTTGCTTCTATCTTATATTGAGATGCAACTGAATGATGGAATTCGGCTTTGTTTCTAACACCAATGCTAAGTTGCATGTTCTGTATTTCTTCATAATTAAGAGGCTAGCATGTAAAAAGAAAAGTATTGTCATTCTAACAATCTCTCATATATTTGCTACCACCCTGTTATAGGTTCTTACCACCTCATGACTGGACTATTACAATAGCCTGCTGATTGAGCTCCTTGTCTCAATTGTCTCCATCAGATTGATCATCCTAAAGTGCTGGTCTGACCATGTCATCCATACCTGGATTCCCTGCCCCATTCAATAAGCACCAGTGGTTCCTTATCAACTCCAGAATAACATATAAGATCCTGTATTTGACTTGTAAATTCATTCATAACCTGTCCCTTCTTACTTTTCCAGTCTGCTTGTATCTTACAATACCCTTTCCTACCTCTCCTTTCCCATATCTTAGGTGATAGAATGACCCTGGCTTCCTTGCTGCACTCAAATGATATTCCATCTCTCAATTCTGAATATTTTCCCTAGGTGTCCCCTATTCCTGGAATACTCTTCCTTCTCATCACCTCCTTCTAGCTTCTCTGGCTCCCTTCAGGTCTCAGCAAAAGTCTCACCTTCTACAGCAGTATTTCCCCAGCATTCCTTAATCTTTTGGCCTTCATTCTGAGACTATCTGCAGTTTACCTTGTATTTAACCTGTTTGTACATGGCTGCTTGACTGTTATCTTTCCTCTTAGATTGTAAGCTCCTTAAGAGCTAAGACTACATTTTGCCTTTTTTTTTTTTGTAGTCTAAATACTTAGCACAATGCCTGGTACACAGTTGGCACTTAACAAAAGTTAATTGTTTGCTTAGTCTAACAAGAAACAAAATTCCAACCTAGAGAGAGCCACACATTCTTTTTGACTACCTACTATGTTGCAAGCACTGTTCTAGGTCCTGGGGACACAAAGACAGAGAGCAGAAACACTAGTTAGTATTTTTTCTTTCTCCACTTAAATATAGATATATTTGTACTAATATGTGTCTATATTCACAGAACAATATATATTTCTTTGCCTTAAATCTCATTTTAAAAAATGAGAATTGAGAGCAATAACACACATATGTAGATACTTTTTAGAAAGTTACAAAATCACACTGACCCAACAGACATGGTGGAGCATGTTTGCAATCTGTGCTGCTAGGGAGGCAGAGACAGTTGTGTCTATTGAGCTCAGGAGCTCTGAGCTGCAGTTGGCTAAATGCTAAGGGTGGTATCAATATGGTGCCTCTGGAGGTCAGGACACCACCACGTTGTTTAAAGAGGGGAGAACCCAGGCCCAGGTTGGAAACAGAGCAGGTCAAAGCTCCTGTGCCAATGAGAGTGGGATTACGGGTCTGTGAGTAGCCTTTATACTTTTGGACTGGGCAAGTCAGGGAGTCTTAGTCTTTTAAAAAACAAACAAAAAAACCAATGTTCATGACATTTGGAATCTTTCATGAATTTTCAGAGGATGTGTTTACAAACACCACCAATCTGTAATCTAGCTAAGGTTCTGAACTACAGATAAAAGAGAATGGAGGAGAGATGATCTTAATTGGTGCAAGCTGCTGTTGGAACCTAAAAGAGTCACCTAGTTATCTTCTTCCAATTGACTGTGTCATACAACAATGAAAGACCTTAAGAGTAGTTTAATGTTTAGTAACCTTCTTCATTAATAAAAGACAATTCATGAGCACAAAACATGATCTCTACATATCCCAAATCTTCCTGTTTCATATCCCACTGGAATTTCAGTTGAACATTAATTTGCATATTTCCTTATTTCTATGAAGCCAAAATGTCTAGTTTCTGACTTTATTGAAGGGTTTCAAATGTAAAATTCAGAGGTTATCTTGAATTATAATTCTCTGGATTTTAAAAATAATATAGCATCCACCATAAGACGATGGAAAGATTATTGGCTGTGGAGTCAAAGGACTTGGGCTCAAATCCTGCTTCTGATGCTTACTATTTGTCTGACCTTGGACAAGACACTTCAACTTTTTCTCAGGCTTGAGTTTCCTTATCTCCAAAATGGGGGGAGGGAAGATTGGATTAGATGCTCTTTGAAGTTCCCTTCAGCTCTTTATATGCAAACCTATGATCTAACAAGCTGGAAATAGCAATTGTTTATAAGCAATAGTAGGAAAAGTTGTTTTCATTTAACAGATGGAGAAATTGAGGCACACAGAGCCTTAATTATTTGTGGTGTTTCCCATGAATAACTTGCTAACTTTAGTTGGTAATTCAGTATTAGGTTTTTCAACTTCCATTTTAATATCCTAGCCAATAAAGAATGTTAACTACTGGGGAACATTTTGAAAGGGATGTTTTAAAGTTCGGAAAGCATTTTGAATACACCATCATCTCATTTGACTCAAAATGCTCCAGTGGAAAGTATGCTGGTTTGGGAGGCCAGGGGCTGGGGTTCAAATCTCATCTCTGCCATTTACTCCCTGTGTGATTTCAGACAAGTCATTTACTTTCTCTGGGCCCTGGTTTCCCCATTCACAAAATGAGAGGATTCCAGCTCTAAGTCTTTGGTCCTGTTAATCTCACAAAGATCTTGTGAGCTAGTTTTTATTGTTGTTTAGTTCATTAGTCATGTTTGACTCTTGGTGACCCCATTTGGGGTTTTCTTGGCAGAGGTACTGTAGTGGTTTGCCATATCCTTCTCCAGCTTATTTATAGTTGAGCAAACTGAGGCAAACAGGGTTAAGGGACTTGCCCAGGGTCACATAGCTAGTAACTATCTGAGGCTGGATTTGAACCAAGGTCCTCTTGTCTCTCTATCCACTGTGCCACCTAGCTGCCCTTGTGAGATAGTTACAGAAGGTTTTATCATTGCCATTCTACAGATGAAGAATTGAAGCTGAAATGACTTGGTCATGTGACATAGCAAGTGGAAAAAGTAAGATTTGAATCCAGGTCTTCTTGGTTTTAAGTCCAGCATTTTATCCTCTCTGACACACTGCCTTTTTATAAGAAACTCATGGGTTGAAAGAACTAGAACTAGTTGGTCAGAAATATACTAGTGACTCCAATAACATTATGCATCTCTAGAATGATTAGGAAAATTAGGGTTTAGGTGAAGAATTAGCTAGGTCACATGTGGAAAGGAATAGATGGGACCTTAGCAATGGCCTAAATGCTAATGACCCACAGACTGCAAAATGTCCAAACTTTTCCAAAAGGAAAAGTTAAGTTCCAGTAAAAAATACATTTAAAAAGAACATGTGTAATTATTAAATGGAATCATTTATATAAAGTAATTTTCAGATCTTAAAATGGTATACACAAGTCTACTATTGTCATGACATCACAATATGCCATAAAAACATAAAAGGTAAAAACCTCAAAATGAAACAAAATGTTTATTTCTGTTTTAATTTTGTTCTTACATGTGTACCTAATTAGTATTAATGCCCATTTCATAATTTTTATAGGGTAGACTACTTGAAGAAACAGAAGCAAAAGAAAGTCTTGTCTAAGTTGAAAAAAAAAAGCAAAGCAACTCAAAATTAATTTTTCACAAAAACACATTTCAATGTACAATATTTTCTGCTTATTAACCTGACTTTAGGATGAGGTGTGAACATAGCTACTTTGTTATAGACCTAATAAAGTGTTAAGAACACTGCACTTTTAAGTCAGAAGACCTATGTTTGAATCTTAACTTTGCCACTCACTAGCTGTGTGACCTTGGGTAAGTCTTTTAGTTTCTCTATACCTTGGTAGCCTCCTTTGTAAAATAGGGATAACAATGTGGTCTTCCTTGTCTCATAGAATTGTTGTGAGAATCAACTAAAATAATATTAAGTAAAGCATTTCTAAACTGTGAAACTATATAACCATGAGTCAGTATTTTGAAAAAGGTCTTAAGCAAAATATTTATTGTAATGGTATTGTACCTTGATAACTCGGAAAATTCCCTCATTAGTCATTTCATCAGTTACTATTTCGAACCAGCCTCCTTCATTTCCCGATATAAAGAAGAAGAGTGCCAACCAATTATCTGTTCCCTCTTGATCCAAGTCAATTACTCTGAACCGAGCCATTTCCTGGCTAATCATATTCTCTTTTATATTTATTGTGTACTGAAAGAGATGGATGAATATTTATTTTTGAAAAATGATACAATATTAGTTTCTGCACAAGAAGAAATAGATTAGAAATTCAAGAACATTTATAATTATAAATTGTTTAGAAAAGAATTATATTTATATGTTATCTTCAATATGAGCATCACTTCTAGTCTTTCATAAATCCATTTTCATGAGCTACTTTTGCTACTATAGATGTGCAAGTATAGAATCCAATTTTGTGAAGTTTTGTCTCCACCAATGAAAATCTACACTACTATACAGGGTTATTATGCAAGAACCTAAAAGATGCTCTTTTCACTTCAAGTTAGAAGAATTTGTGAGAAATACTTACAGTGGGGAGTTCAAGTCTTGGAAAATTATCATTGACATCTAAAATTGTGATTTTGCAGTCACTTTGTGCTGATAGCCCATCTCCACCTCCATCCCGGTCAGAGCCTCTTACAACAAGACTATACATAGCATATTTCTAAGAAATAAAATAAAACAAGATGTTACATGTAACAATAATCTTTAGTATGGTCATTACTGTAAAATAGGCAAAGCTCTTTATAAGTATTACTCAAAATGACATTCAAAATAACAATACTCCAAGGAGAGGATGTAGAAAGAACAATCCATTATTCCTGAGACTGGTGGATAAAACACAGATGATTAACAACCCAAATCTGCATTTGGGGTTCTTTCTCCCAACACACATCAGTTGGTATTGCAGATTGTACCTCTACTTCCTTTATTCTTTTCCCAGAAATGCTAGTCAGAAACACTAACTGGTTTGAATTTTGCTTTCTCTGGTGGACAGTAGAAGAAAAAAGGAACCACAGTGGGGCATAGGATGAAAGATCTTTACATAAAACAGTGCTTTGTATGTAGTAAGTGCTTAATAAGTGCCTGGTGAATTCTTTGAATGAAGAGAGAATTCATAAGCAGCTATATGACTCAGTGGAGAAGAGCGTGGAGTTTGGAATCAAGAATGCCTGGCTTTATGTCTAACTTGAGCAAGTCTCTTGGGCAATCATGGAGCCAAATGGATATTTCCTATCCCATAGAATTGTTGTGAAAAATAAAGCAGATAATTATGTGAAATGCTTTATAAACTATAAAGCTCTTTAATAAATGTCATCTATTGTTATCATGCAAAAGTACTGTCTAACATACAGATTCTTCATCCCATGTCCCCACTACATCTTTACTAGTCCCACCCCTCTCCAATCCATTCTTCATATAGCTGCCAAAGCCATTTTCTTAAAACACAGGTGTGGCCACATCACTCCTATTTTTAAGAATTTTCATTTTCCTCTAGAATTATCCTAGAAGAGATTTTCTGTTTCTTCTAGAATAAAATGAAGGCTTTACAGGTTGGCATTTAAATCCCTTCTCTGTCTGACTACAGGCTACCTTTCTAGGTTTATTGTACTTTACTTAAGCAATTTACATTACTTGTTCATGGTGAATTTGGCATTTTGTCTCCCACCTTTGCGCCTTTGCGCAGCTATCTTCTCTAGCACTGGCTGTACTTGTGGAGAAGACTACCTGCCCTCCCCTTCCAATGTGACTGGTTTTGGAGGGAGACTTAGAATATTCCTTGCTTCCCAGGGTCACTTTGAGGATCTTCCTATGCCTTCTTTATTCAATACACTTTCCCCTTTTTAAGTCCACACAATTAAACTTTTCTACTCAATGCAAATGATGGTAGTTGTAAAATATTGACCTCCAGGTTATTCTCTTTCTTTTCTCAAGGAGTTGAGCACCTGGCTCACCATCTTCTCCTCTCCTTATACTAAGGGAACTTTACTATTCATGTAGATGATCCCTCAAACTTTCTAACCTCCAATTTCCTCCACCTCCTTATGTTCCTTGACCTATTCCTTTACTCCAAGTCAGCCAAACAAATAGATGATCACACAGTGGATCTCACTATTACTCACAAGTATTCTACTTAATTCACCCATCTGATCATAACCTCCTATCATTTCACCTCTCCCTATGTTTTACTCCTCTTACATCTTTCTTTGCTCTTGTTAGACTGTGAGCTCCTTGAGAGTAAAAACTGTCTTTTGCCTTTCTTTGTATCCTCAGAGCTTAGCACAGTGCCTGGCATATAGTAGGCACTTACTAAATATTTGTTGACTGACTGACTCATTCCTTCTACCTTTCAGTGCTTTGTCAGGCCATTACCCTCAATCCTAATTTACTTCTTCCCCTTCACCGTTAACCTAATATTTAGTCATTTCAGCTCTATACTGTATTCTGCTTTTGAAGCGCTTATCTTTATCCTTGCCCCTCCCCACCCTCCACCGTCCTAGCACCAAACCTCAATCCTGATCTGATCCCATTTTATACCTCTTTTTGTTCCTTCTCAGCAGCTGCTGAATGGAGCTGGAGGAAATCCCATAACATCATTACCTGATTTTGTCTAGGTTTTCACTGCAGGGAGGCAGTCATCTTATTCCTTCCTGACTCTCTATCTCTTCTCCTATAGAAGCTATCCCAAACTTTCTTTTGCTTATCAAAGCCCCTCCCATGCCTCTTCTCCCTTCCTCTCAGCTGAGGACTTTGCCTCTTACTATACTAAAACAAATTGAGGTCATTCAGTCTAAATTTCTTCTTCCATCTCTCCCATCACCATTCTTTTCATCTCAAAAACCCCTTGACCTCCTTTTTCAGTCTCTTCTCCAGCAAAAAAGGTGTCTCTTCTTCTCGCCAAGGCTAACCCTTTCATCTCTTCCCTCTTATCTTCTCTAGGAGATTGCATCCTCAATCATCCCTTCCTTTCTCTAAATTTCTCCCTAACTACTAGTACTTTCCCTATTGCCTTTAAACACCCCCCAAATTTGTCCCATCCTGAAAAAAAATTTTAACTAGTCCCTGTCATTCCCCTTGAGCTATCAGTCCCGATTTCCTCCCTTTCTTACTCAAACTTCTAGAAAAAAAAGGTATCTATAGTTGTTGATTTTACTTCTTTTCTTCTAATTAATCCCCAAATCTTTGCAGTCTGGCTTCTGACCTCATCACTGGCACTATGAAATGGTTCAAAATCAGAAACAGATATGGTTTTATAGTTTTTTTTCAGTCTTGTCTAACTTCATGACCCCATTTGGGGTTTTCTTGGCAAAGATACTGGAGTGGTTTGACATTTCTTTAGATCTTTTTACAGATGAGGAAATTGAGACAAACAGGGTGAAATGACTTGCCCAGGGTCCTGTAGCTAGTAAGTGTCTGAGTCCAGATTTGAACTCAGGAAGATGGGTCTTCCTCACTGTAGGCCTGGCACTCTATCCACTCTGCCACCTAACTTCCTATTTATCAGTATAGATGACATTAAACAAGGTACATTATCATCTGCCTTGCTTCTAAAGCCTGAAGGCTGTGGGGTCTTTCCGTCTGATTTGCTACTGAAACTTCCTTTATGGGTTATCTCTCCTTTAGACTGTGAGCTTCTGGAGTGCAGGGAATGTCTTGTTTTTTTCATTTAGTATCTTTAGCACTGATCACAGTGATTTGCATATAGTATGCTTTTTGGTTGGTTGGTTAGTTGGTTCATTCATTCATTCATTCATTCATTCATTCATTCATTCATTCATTCATTCATTCATTCATTCATTCTAGTCCTGACCCTGTTAACCATCTATGTGACTTCAGATTAGTCACTTAATTCTCTGTGAGATCAATTTTCTTCTTAACAAGATAGTGAGATTGATTACAGGTGGTGGTCAGGGTTTAGACTTCTTTCTATTTCTCAGATTCTTTAATTCATGCTGTAAGAGTACTATGGTACCCTATTTAAAAGTGCTAACTCTTTTTTTTATCATTTAAATAACTACGAACTACTTTACCATCAGATTCTTTATTATTATAATATTATTTAAGATCCAATGTTCTTAAACTGTAAAGGAACTTAGAGACATCTATTCTGAATGTCTTATTATACACATGAGGAAATTGAAGCCTGGAGAGGTCAAATAAGTTTTCCAAGGTTGCCCAGGTTAAGCCTCTATTTGGATCCAGGTCCTCTAAATTTCAGTCCTGTGGTCTTTGCACTGAAGCACACTATCTCTCTGGACAGCTGCACTAATAGTAATTAAAAAATGAAAAATCTGCTTGGCATCTTTTCTTCTTTTAAAAGGGACATATTAAATGTAAGGATCGTATTGATATGAAGGTGGTGTGCCAGCTGCGTGGTACAGTGGATAGAGAGATAGGTTGGGAGATCAAAGTTCAAAACTGGCCTGAGACCCTCACTAGTTGTGCGACCCTAGGCAAGCCATTTAACTTCTGTTTGGCTCAATTTTGTCAATTGTAAATGGGGATGACAATAGCACCTACCTCCTAGGATCATTGTGGGCATCAATATTTGTATACATAGTAGGCACTATCAAAAAAAGTAGTTTATCTTCCTCCTATCAGTACCTGTTTGAATAAAATCTGTTAGTGTCAATAGCTCTTTCAAACAACCACAACAATTTCACCTCTCGGTCCAGAAAGGGATTCATGGTTCGAAGTTCTCCAGAATATCTGTTCAAAATAAACATTGGGGAATCTGCAGGCTCCTGGCTGACAATCTTGAAGGCGATTTTGGAGTTCAGGTTATTCGGTTCATCGGCATCAGTAGCATTTATCACCATCACCAGAGTGTCTAGAAGGTAAGAGAAATTGATTGTTATAAAGTTTAAACTTCAACTGTGTTACAACAAGAAATTTACTTCTCAGGTAAGGATTTTCTTTAGCATTCACATGCTAGATGTGCTTATTAGCATAATGTAAACAGGGCCTTTTCAATTCTGGCCTAGATATTTGTGTTCTAGTCAGCTAGATGGCAAAGTGGATAGAGCCCTGGATCTGGAGTCAGGGAGACCTGAATTCAAATCTGCCTTCGGACATTTATTAGCTGTGTGGCTTGGGCAAGTCATCTAACTTCTAATTCCCTCAGTTTCCTCATCTATAAAATGAGGATAATAATAGCACCTACTTCTTAGGGCTGTTGTGAGGACCGAGTGAGAATATTTGTAAAGTTCTTTGCAAACCTTAAAGTGCTATATGAATGCTATCTATTATTATTATGATCATTGGCTAATAAAGTTGTCTACCCTTTCTTAGCAGTAATCCTTCCCTTTACCCCTTTGCTTGTCACACCTTGGACCTATTTAGTTTTGATAACTTTGAAATAAAAGAAAGATGCCACTATTTTTCTTCTGATTCTGTTACTTTTTTTTAGTGGTAGAAGGATCATGTTAGGGGTGTGGAGGGAAAGCATGGTAATCATTTACATTGCCTATTACAATCTTAAACCAATGATTGTTGTTCAGTCATTTCAAACTCTTTGTGACCCCATTTGGAGTTATCTTGGAAAAGATGCTGGAGGTTTGCCATTTCCTTCTCCAGCTCATTTTATAGATGAGGAAACTGAGGCAAACAGGGTTAAGTGAATTGAAGGGTTTGAGGCTAGATTTGAACTCAGGAAGAGAAGTCTTTCTGACTCTAAGAATGCCACCCGTTCCACTGCACCACCTAGCTGCCCCAATGATACATTATAGCAATTTGGAGATAAACTTGGGTCCTTGAAGGCTGTGCTTGCAGAGTATAAATAAGGTGGAAAGGCTTTGAGTATGGGCCTGGAGATGGACTGGGTTCATTGTCTGAGAACCAGCTAAGTTAGGTTCAGACTAGCTGATTGGAAGAAGGCTGACCACTAAGTGCTTTTAGCTAAAGAAGTTCACAAGAGTGGGATAGAGTTGTGATTTGGTCAGTAGAAGCTTTGTGCACTTGTATGAAACCTTGACTTTTTTGAAGTACTGAAGTCAGTAAACAAGCATTTATTAAGCATGGCTTATGTGCCAGGTACTGTACTGTGTTGGGAATGCAAGGAATACAAAGAAAGGGAAAAGAATTCCTCCTCTCAAGGGGCTCCCAGTCTAATGGGGGAGACAACATGAAAACAATTATGTAAAAAACAGATATATTCAGGATAGATTGGAGATTGTTGTTGTTGTTTGTCCTTTGTTTTTGAAGAGGACCAATGATATAATTAACAGAAGAAGGCCCTAGAATTGAGGGGGATCTGGAAAGGCTTCTTGCATTAGGTTGTATTTTAGCTGATAACTGAAGGAAGCCTAGGAAGCCAGGAGGCAGAGGTGAAGAGGTAGAGAATTCCAGGCATGGGGACAGCCAGCAAAGCTGCTCAGAGTTGAGAGACTGAGTGTAGTGTGTGAGGAATAACAAAAGAGACCAGTGTCACTGGATCAAAGGGTACATGGGGGGAAATGAGGTTGAAGAAAATGGAAAATGTAGGAATGGACCAGGTTATGTGGGGACTTAAAAGCCAAACAGAAGGTTTTATATTTTATCCTGGAGGTAACAGGGAGCCACTGGAAATGAGTGAATAGAGGGGTGACATGGTCAGACCTATGGTTTAGGAAGACCAAGTTGACAGCTGAGTGAGGGATGGACTGGAGTGAGGAGACTCTTGAAGTGGGGAGACCCACCAGCATACTACTGCAATGGTCTAGAAGGGAGGTGCCAAGGGCCTTCACCAGAGTGATGGTAGTGTGAGAGGATGAGGGGGTGGAACTAGATGGTTAAGCTACTTTAGATACTGAAGGATTGTTGCGTGGAAGAGGGATTAGCTTTGTCCAGTTTAGCCTCAGAGAGCAAAACTGGCAACAACGTTTGAGTGTTACAGAGGCACACTGAGGTTCAATGTAAGGTAATTCTTCTTTAACATGATAGTACCAGCTATTTCCCTGAATAACAAAGACATATTTGGAGGGTATTTCAAAGTGGAAGTTACTTACTCGCATAACTATTTTCTTCTACACTTCCCACAAATTCAGTCATTGAAAATACTGGAGGATTATCATTTATATCCAGAACTCTGACCCTGAGCTCTAGAACATTTTCCAGATCTTGACCTTGTGCATTCAGAGCTCGGCAATAGATCTAGGAGAACAGGAAGACATATGTCATACTGAACCTGAAAAGATTCTCCAAACAGTTGTAGAAATCAGATGAAAAGGCTCTCTCTGTCTCTCAACCAATATCTTCAACTGCATTTAAAAGCTAGGGGGATAAGCCCTCTTTTCCCCTTTATCATCCTCACTTTTAAGTCTTTAACTAAACTTTAGTCATACTTTCCTTAGGGTTTAGGTTTGCAAGGGTGGGGAACCTGCAGCCTTGAGACCACATGTGGCCCTCTAGGTCCTCAAGTGCACCCCTTTGATTGAATTCAAACTTCATAGAACAGATCCCTTTAATTAAAGGATTTATTCTGTAAAACTTGGACTCAGTGAAAAGGCTGCACTCAAGGACCTTGAAGGCCACATGTGGCCTTATGGTCGCAGGTTCCCCACCCCTGGTTTAGGGTAAAGAAAAATCAATCAATCAAGTTTGTTTAGAAGGTATCTACTTGCTAGCAGTATGATTATGGCTATTTAATGTCTCTGAGCCTCAGTTTCTTTATCTGTAAAATGAGCATAATGATATCTCACAAGGTTGTTGTGAAGGTCAAATGAGATGATTTCTATAAACCTTAAAGATCTTTGTTATATAATGTGAGCTATTGTTTCTCAGTGGCTGTTTTGATGAGAGGGAAAACTAAATTCTACTCTCAAGCAATCTTCTTCCAACCCCTTTGGGCCTCACATAGGATGCTTGCTGAATAAATCATCCAGAGAATTCAGAAAAATAGCAGAAAGTTGACAATAAATTCTCATTAATTGATTGACTAAAGATGCTACATTCCTCAGTCTGAGCTTAAGATTTCCCGTAAATAACGAATAGAGAGCTGGTTTTACATGCAAACAGACAAAGTACTCACTATGAAATATGGGTTGACCTCTCTATCAACTATTGCTGTTATATTAATTTCACCCGTTTTTGGATTAATAACAAAGACTCCATAAGGGGGCTGATCAATTCCCACTCCAGAGATGCGATATGTAACTTGTTGATCCTTGGCACAGTCTGAATGAATCTATAGTAAGAAAGACAAAAAAAATATGATAACAAATAGGATTAGCAATTCTGCCTCTAACATCCCAGTTCTGTCTTTCTTGAAAATTATTGAATATAATTTCCTTCTAGCTACTTGGCAAAAAATCATAAGTAATTAGAAATACAGGGGTAGCTAGGTGGTGCATTGGATGGAACACTGGGCTTGTAATCAGAAAGATTCCTTTTCATGAATTCAAATCCTTCCTCAGGCACTTAATAGCTATGTAATCCTGGGACCAGTAATTTGTTTCAGTTTGTCTCAGTTTCTCATCTGTAAAAATGAGCTGGAGAAGAAAGTGGAAAACAACTTTAGTATCTTTGCCAAAAACTACCTTCACTATGGGATTATGAAGAGTCAGGCACAACTGAAATGAATGAACAACAACAACAACAATAAAAACTATTGTTGACCAGATTGATCATGACAGCAAACATTGCAATGATGGCCAATGGTGTAATAAAAGAAGGATGAGGCAAAAAAGCATATCAATACACACTACAGAAATCAAGTATGGGCCATTCTTGCCAGTATCCTTGTCTAACTAATGCTCACAGAAGGCAACTTTCTGCAGATTTTAAAATGGTCGATTTCAACCAGGAGGAGAAAAGTTCTTGTGATACTTGAGAATGCAAAGGGGCTAAACAATAACCTATCCTCATGCTCTACCCCTAGGGAACAATAGCAGATTGAGCAAAAGACAAGATATATTAGGACTAGAGATAAAAGAGTACTGATTATTTATAGGGGAAAGTGACAGGAAGAGAAGTGACAGGAAAGAAGAGATAGAGGGAATGGTATTATAATGACAAGAAAGCCAAAAAGATGCCTGAATTCAGTTCTAACACATTTTAAGACAGTGTCATAATTTAAATGTCTATTAAATAGCTGGAACATTAGCATTGATTTCAGTAGTAACATTATTTAATAAAAGCAACAGCCACAAAATTCTGCCCATAATATGAAGTACTTTTTCAAATCTCCAATTTAATTTTTAAAGCTATCATAGTCTTCCAGTGGACGGTCTGAATGAACACGTATCATATCTATCTATTTCTCTTATGCCTTCTTAGCCTTGCAGTAAGGGTTCATGAAATCTTTAAAGGGGTCTCACTTCACTAATTTCAAGATTGGTCAACTCAACTTCCCAGTATTTATCCTCTTACCAGAACTGCCACTTACTTTAGCGATTGGATTTCTCTTTGAGTTATCTTCACCTTCTCGACAAGCTGCTGCAAACTTGATCCATTCCCGCTTTTGCCTTCTGCTGGAATGCCACTTTATGGTGCCATTTTTGCTGTTATAATCTCTTACCTTAGGTAAAAGGAGTCATAGTTTCCATAATTTTGTCTTCATGCACTCATTTTTATTTACAATATACATTCATTAGGTACTGCAGTATTAACTCTAATATCAGAAAGAGAGCATAATGCCAAATTGATTATGCTCCCTTGATGTACTGTTCACTTTTGTTATACTTGTCCTAATGATTAAGTAAATCTGACCTTCATATAAATTGGATATACATATGAATTTCAAAATTTAATTACTTTCAATTTTGCTTCAATTTAAAAAATTATATTTTACCTGAACTCGAAATTCACTGTTAATCTCCACCACCACCTAGAAACCAAATCAAACAAATAAATTAAATAATTATTTTTGATTAACTAGTTTTAGGATCCATATCTTCACCTTCAAATCTCTTTACATGTAGCCTTTTACTTCTTTTCATCCCTCTGTTTCTGTTCTCCTCCTTGCTATCCCTTTTGCCATATATTGTCCTACTAAAATACAAGTAGATACTGTTTGGGGTTCTGATATTACAAGTAAATAGGAATATTGGTCAATACAAATTATATCCTTTTTGAATTCAACAGCTGAGTCTGTCTTTGCTAAATCTTGTGCCACTTGGGAAATTGAATTCCCTTTAAGTCGCTAAGTGATATTTACTGGTAATGGATAATAAAATTATTGTATAATCTGTAAAAAGTGGTAGCAATATGCTATAAAATATTGTATAAGGTATAACAAGTGGTAGTAATATGTAATAAAAATATTATATAATGCATAAAAAAATTCCTGGATATAGTTCAGGAATCTGTGTGGCAACAACTTAGCTATAACTAGTTAGAAGATTGATTTTTAAATTCATTCTGAGAATAGCAAAAATAACCAAATTCCAGTGCTAAAAAAAGAATATTGATTAGGAAGACAAGGGGAGGCCACTTATAAATGCATTCAGGAAATTCAATTTAATTAACATTTATTTAGTGCATTTGATCTACCTCCCATTGTCTTTCACAGTGTCTTTTGCAAATAGAAGATGCTTAATAAACGTCTGTGGTGTTGAACTGAATTTCTCGGTACTACTAGGTACGTTGGGAATACAAAAATGAATAATAGCATAGTCTATGCCTTCAAAGAGCTGACATTCTACTGGTGTGAGACAGTGAGGGGTTTGTGGGGCAAGGCAGATATATGTACAATTAAAGGTAGCGTCTGATGGGGGCAAAGGAGAGATCCAGACAAGAAGTGCTTTACAGAATTTGAGAAGTGACCTCCAGTTCTAGATGACAAGGAAAATTTATATTTTGAAAGAGAGCTAAATTCTTAGCTGAATTTTTGAATTTTAATAGTTTCTTTTAGTCTCTTTCTGATACTTGCTCTTTTCACTAAGTATGGTGAACTTTGCCAAATAGACAGGCTCTGAGAAATAGGAGAAAGCAGACATTATAATTGCATTGAGAACCAGAAAGGAAAGGTGATTAAAGAAATACAGGAAAATGTTGCCCTGGTTGGGCAAGTTCTTCTTGGCCTTTCCCTTACATGAGGCAATTATTCTAGTCCAGCAGATTACATTACTAGGTCTTATCCTCAATTTCACTTACCTTGAACTCTAGACTTAGGCAATGCATAGAGCAAAAATAAGATCCAATCTTAACCTTTTTCCCTTCCTTCTCTACAAACATCTGCTTTCTCCCCAGATCTTCTCAGTTGTTTCCAAGCCAGTTGAGCATTGTGTCAGGATGCATTGAATCCTCTATGCCATCATGATCAGCTGCTCTAATGGCAAAAATTTTTTTTTGTCAACAACCCATATGAAGTGCGGAGCTTGGCTTTGAAGCCCACTTGAAGCCTACTATACCAATTTAAAGAAATTTAAATAGATTAAGCATTTAGTTTTTGAATCATCTTCCCAAATCATTTTCTATAGTTGCAGAGAACTCCAGTTTGCCAGGACATTTAATAAGGGAGAGTAAGTAATAAAAACTTTTATCACAAGTACTAGTCTGGATTTAAAGTTGACCAGAGGAATGTGAAAATTACAGTTAGTGTGGGATTAAAAATAATTTAAGCTATTTCAAATGACTCCATGTAATTGACATTTTAACATTTTATGTAATACTATAGCAAATCTCAAAGACTACTGCCTTTATTTATTTATTTTCTCTTCAATTTAATTATATTTTTTCAGTTCCAAATTCTCTCCCTCTCCACCTTTCCCTCACCAATTGAGAAGGCAAGAAATACCAAACCCATGCAAAACAAATTTCCATATTGGCTAAAACATTTTTAACTGCTAAAAATAATTCATAATTCAAAAACACATTTAAATGGAAATGTACTCCTTCATGGTTAATAAAATGGGTACTTTAGTTTTTCCTATGAGAAATTCTCTGACCTATGGTACAAATGAATGGTATTCACCAGCATGGTTGATTGTTCAAGCCAATTAAGTCACTTCCTGTTTCTAAGAGAAATAGAGTGACATCATCTCCTGGCAGATTCTGTATGCTCTAGACCAGATCTTGAAAGCAGCCAACTTTTCCTTGAATTCTCATGGAGTCCTTCAGATCACTAAGATACCACTGGAATAACACATGTGATACTGAAGGACTGGGTCTACAAGAAAGAATGTGTTTGCCAATGTGCCAAACTCACCCCAGCAATGATAGGATCTACTGTAGTCAGGTATCCTTTAAAGTCTTGATGTTTTTCTTTAATATAAACAGACATAGACACCTTTTCTTTTTTTAAATTATGAAATCAAAAGGTGAAAAGTAAGGCCAACTGGAATCGACATGACAGCTTTTCTTCAGAGTTCAAATAAAACAGATAGAATCTAATCTAACTTCCCAACATCCCTGTTAGCTAAGGAGGGTTTAGGTCTTATTATCCTTTTACATGCAAGGAAAAGAGATGTGAAACTGGATAAGAGAGGTACCCACATTTATCTACAGCTAGGAAATGGTGGAAATGGAACTAGATCCTGGGTCTCCTAATGCCCGATCATTCTAGGCATTAGATAGAATCTATCATATTCCTCCTTAAGAAGCATTGCTTCTTGTGGCCTCTGTTTCCTTTACCTCACCTGTTGGGGTGGAATGGGGGTGGAACTGTACATTAGTTGTCTGTTTGGGAGACATTTCTTTATAATAACAGAACTGTATACCCACCTTTTATCTACAATGCACCTTTCTTTCTACGGTGAAATGGCTAGTGGGTAGATGGTGTTTCTTTTGGATGACTGTGCTGGATGACTCATTAACCATCTCAGGCCTTTGAATCTGTGTCATGTTATTCCCATGAAAGGATCATGGGATTAGGCACAGAGCTCAGTATCTACACCCTCATGTTGGGGTATCAGTATTGATCAATAACTGAATAATTGTTATCTACACTTCTATCTGTGCTGTGTAGACATAGGCTCATAGTCATGTGCTCAAAGACATAATATAAACTGTTACTATAGTTTTTCATTTCTATGGTGTATTTGTTGATAATATACAATTAATGTTTGCTCACAAGGACTTTTCTACAATTTTTTTTTTTTTGTGTACAACAAGACCAGAGATAAATTATGTGGAGGTAGTGGAAAGGACACAACTTGGAATCAAGAGACACCTGGGATTGAATCCCACCTACCACATTAACTGAACTTATAACCATGGGCAAGTCACTTAATCTATATGACTCTCAATTTCTCCTCTGTAAAATGAGAATGTAATGCCTTATAGTACTTTCCCCATAAGATTGTCCTGAAAACAAAATTAAATAATGCAGGAAAATTGTTTTCTAAGCCTTACCATGCTATATCATTTATCACTATAGCCATATCTTTTAAATATTTGATAAAATATCCTAGCCTACATCTAATGATATTTTATTTAAATGAATGTAATCAAAAGAATTTGAGGAAAGAAGGCTGAATTTATTTATTTAAAATATACCCAATTTGTTTTTTGTGTAAAGGACATATAAGAATAATTTGCAGTAGTTCCCTAGAAATTCAGTATATCAGTTATTAGTCCTAAAGCTGAACTGTAAGGCCTTCCTACTCAAAAGTAGTATGAAGCTCAATGTGTGAACTCCAAATCTCAGAGCTTACAGATTTAGATTTGCACATTCTAATTGGATTAGAAAAGTCTTTGACATTACAACTAAGAAAATTAAATTTAGCAAAAATTAGCTATTTATCTAAGAGGCAGTATAGTATAATGGATAGAGGGCTGACAAGTCACAGTCAGAAAGACCTGCAATTGAGTCCTGCTTCTGATACATCCTAGCTGTGTGACCATGGGTGAGTGATTTACCCTCTCAGTGCCCCTAGGCAATTGTCTGAGACTATAAATTAGAAAGGAGTTGCCTATCTTCACCGGTGACAGAGAATTTCTGCGCCAGCAAATTCCTACATTGAAGAAGTTACAGGTCTATACCACCTCTCTGCCCCACCCCCCACAAAAGACAACCTCCTCCCCAAAGTATCAAATGTCACATGCCAAATATCACATATTCTTTGCTTATTTAATGTATTACTAGCTCTCTTGGGTTAGTAACCTGTTTCTTCATATCATTGTCATCATTCCTTGGTTGGAAACACACCAAAGAAAATAATGCTTTCCTTCCTGAAAGATAGACTCTCACAGTGCCAGTATTACAGTCAAGAATTAGTTTTTGAATTGTGAGAGTATGGTCCAGTGGCAGGGAACCTGCAGCCTTGAGGCCGTATGTGGCCTTCTAGGTCCTTGGGTGTGGCCTTTTGATTGAGTTCAAGTTTTACAGAACAAATCCTTTTTTTAAGGGGATTTGTTCTGTGAATTTTGGATTCAGTCAAAGGGCCCGTACTTGAGGACCTAGAGGGCTACATGTGACCTTGAGACCACAAGTTCCCCCCATCGCTGATAACCTTTAACATTTCCATACCATTCTAAATGATGCCATGGATAAGGTGCTGGATCTGGAGTCAGGAAGACCTGAGTTTAAATCTGGCCTTAGATACTTCCTAGCTGGGCAGGTCACTTAAACCTCTGTCTGCTTCAGGGTTGTTTTGAGGCTTGACTGAAATAATATTTGCAAAGCACCAAGCACAGTAACTGACACATGGTAAGCACTTAATAAATGCTTCTTCCTTCCTTCCTTCCTTCCTTCCTTCCTTCCTTCCTTCCTTCCTTCCTTCCTTCCTTCCTTCCTTCCTTCCTTCCTTCCTTCCTTCCTTCCTTCCTTCCTTCATTTTCTCTTCAATTTAATTATATTTTTTCAGTTCCAAATTCTCTCCCTCTCCATCTTTCCCTCACCAATTGAGAAGGCAAGTAATACCAAACCAAAAGATTCCACATGGC